GTAAAAGTAGAACTGTTATATTAATAAATTAAGTCTTTAAACTACTGTCTCTTCGTTTGACTTAATTCAATTATACTAATATAACTGCATGTATGGTGACGTCTCGTCACCACTCATTGCGCGCGTCTTGCGGCGATTGGTGGGTTGATATCATCACGATATCAACCAATGAACAGACCCTTTGGTCGACCCTTCAATATCACCACTTTGGTGATATTGTTTTAAAGAATATCCATCTTTATATTCTTTATTGTCACTTTCCTTAAAGTGACAATTTCATGTAACGGGCTGCCCCGTTACAAAATAGGCTTCATCGTGCTCAAAAGTGAAGTCAAAAACAAGGTAAGATATATGTTTCTACACTGACCAGCTTGTATATAGGTACATTTATAATAGAAATTATAGTAGCTCCGGTGGGATTGCAATTACGACTAAATGATCAAGATTTAAAATTGCGTTCTGAGACGCGCGTCGATCATCCAGAAGAATGAGCAAAACAAACATGTTACACATCATTAGTCATCTCTGACTAACAATTAAATGCAATTTGTGGTCCCTACAGGAAATACCAGGCCTGATAAGCATTTTCAAACTTAATTCTATTTCCGTGCCTGACAATAAAAGGGCCACTTGAAACAGTAAAAGGGTCACTTTTTAAAGGGCCAATTCAAAAAGTGGCCCTTTTACTGTTAAGCATGGAAATAAATTAAAATTAGGACACTGACCGTCGATTTAATGTTCATTTACGTACTGTATAGTCTTACGGTTGTGAAAAGATGGGCCGAGACAAACTAAACTACAAATTTTTCACATGCGATCTACAAACAAGGATCCTGTAATATGTTTCCATCATATAGATTCATATACAGACTAATTACCTTCACAGATCTGTGACATGAAGGAATCGAGAAATCTTTTCAGACATGTGAGACATGAATGTAAACGCTTCATCTTTACCAGTACACACATCACAGTAGTATACAAGTTTAGGCATACTAGCCGTGCTCGCAGGTAACATTTACTAGAGAAACGAAATCGATAATTTTATCGTCTTGTTGAAGCAAGATAGGAGGTGACAAAATTTGAAAATTTGGCGTCGGGTCCTTTTCCCTCTAGTTAACCGTGTCATTCCGCTTGCAACCTCCATGAACTATTGATATTAGGATCTATTCACTTGCACTGTCGTCAGCATTGATGCACCTTTCCAAAACATATTACATTTGGGATGCGTATGCCGGGTTCAACAACTCACGACCGCGAAAATGGTCATCATCTTAAATGCACACTTGAAATCGATTTGCCAAATATTACATCCCTTCCTGTTCTTTCCTGCTTGCTCGCATCGCGTACGGGCCTATGAAGCGACATTGGTGAATCGAGTACGACGCATGTGTTTGGCCGCGGCGTAGATTTTGGTTGTTGATGATGGAACCAGGCGTTTAGTACCGTGCATTTCTGACGCCAACTCGATGCAGATCACATGCTCCCTGCCAATTTCCGTACTAACGGCAATTCGGGATCCACACTTTGTGTTTCGAGGGCATGAGATTGCCTTATTGTGTGCAAGGGAACAATTCTAGCGACCCACCATCTAGTCACAATCCTTGTAACAAAGAATATCTAAGCATAATGCGTCAGTGGGCATTTTACAATAGTAGTGCAGTATTTATCTAGAGAACAAGTTTATCATCGTGATGCAATTGGGCAGGAAAAGAGTGCCTTCTCGTACTTCCATATACGCCCTGCGCGGCTCTACTTTAGTCACCCAACGTAAAGTCGCTACTTGCCGGCAAGGAAAAGTGCTGGGCAAGCGCGCCTATATATGTGCTAGCGCCCCCAGCACAAGGCAAATCCACACGAGATCAGCGAATACGGCGACAGAGCTCGTGCTCATTACTCCGTCTTCGCAAATGGCACATCTGCCCTGTCGTATCCGCGATACGGACAGGACGGAACATTTCCTTCATTTGATGTGAATCGCCGTGTTACCTCTCGAGTGGCGAGGTAACTCGGCGATACACATCTAGTCAGGCGATCTCAAATAGAATGCTTATCTTGGCAAGTCCGAATAGGATTATGTAAGGTTCATGTACTTGTAAAAGCAAACAGCACGATAATCGATGATACTCCGTCTTTCTACTTGAAGAGCTCCTCGGGGTCGTCATGGCAGCGGCAAAAAGCAGATGGAGCCCTGAGTTGACTCCAGAATGATAAATGCTCAAGCCACGGGGATGGCATTCGCCAGGGCCGGTGCAGATGAGTGACGCAGATGCAACGTAAATGTTCACCTGTATCGATGAGGCAAATAAGTTGGAACAAGCAGCACCGACAGAGTGATCTGTTCATGCAGAAACAAACGTCTACGAGACCGGAGGTTTCATTCAGGTACATGCGTATGCAATATCGATTGATATGACCAGCGACTCATCACATTCCCAATGTAAACGGTGCAGAAGTTCTGCTCGACTACAGAAAGAAAAAGCGGTAAATAATGTGCCTCTACAGACCCTGCAGATAGGCTAGTGTGTTGACAAGATCATAGACATAACACTTATCTTGCATGGAAACGACTTTGAAACGGGACCGACAGCACGCAACACTCATTATAAAAACAAACGAAGAGTGCTCCAGCTTGCTCTTACTTCATTGCGCGATCCCGATAAGCCCGGTGCAAATTGTCAAAGAAGCGTATCGCTGTGCCGCTTTCGCCATATCCACCCAAGCTACAAACAAAGGACAGCAGGTCGATCGAGGTGATCTCACAAGACACCAACATTTACTGGGTTTTTTTATTTGATTTAATCTCAGTCGGAATTAGTAGATCGACGCAATCGACACAAACGAATGTCTGCCATACCATCTACGGCGGAATCGACCTACGTCATATGAAGTAACTTGCCTTTGCTGCAACATTGAAGTCCCTTACCCCAGCACGGAGGGCACACTCGATGCGACGATGAAGAGGTGCTGAATGTGTCTACATATCGAAGGTAGCGTAAGAAACTATCGTCATATCTCGTACGGTCGATCAAGTCACGCCCGCCAGGAAAGGGTCACCAAGTTGCACTCCATTAGAGCTCTATCCTTGAGGGCACGTCATCTGAGACGTGACTTGCCCTGATGGCCGTGCATCGCTCTCTACATGTATCGCTTGTCGCCGGCCATCGTACCCACCCCCTTATGGTAAGCACGACGGAGTGCCTTCACAGGAAACAGAAGCAGTTTCTTTGAGCCTCGGGCAAACGAAGAGCCCCCAAGACCCGTTGGAATAACGCCGAACACTTGCTTGAACGAGGGGACATTCCTCTCCTCATGCACTCCCGCAACGTTGGATGCGTGTACCTTCCCTTCGTGAAAACGGCGGTCATCAGCGGCATGCGCTCGATTCGGTCGCAGGTGCGTGTCGGGCAGCATACTGGCTTTGGTCTTTGGGTCAAGCAGCGCACTGGCTTCGGTCTTCGGGTCGGACAGCATACTGGCTTCGGTCTCTGCGTTGGTGCCGTAACAACCAACACCGATGACCAGCAGGAGCAGAAACGACTCTTGGAAGCGCATGACGAAGCGAATGTGCAAACAACTGCGAGAGGGTCGGGAAGGGAAATGCTGTGGTCTTGTGCACTGCGACGCTTGTTGGGAAATGACGGTTCGATTCAGCGAGACCAAGTCCCGCCGACGCTCGTTCAATGTGACGCATCGTCATACAGAGAAAGCGGATCTGCTGAGAGGCCTCGTTCCTGTCTCCAAGGGCTCAGCAAAAGCAAAGCCACGAAGCCAAGACTATCTGATCGCAAAGCGGATGGGATTTGATAATTCATGTACGTTTGCAAGTGCAAGGTTTGGATCAGTCCAGGTTATGACCGACACAATCAATCTCTTCATGGAACATGGGCGAAAGCTGCGTCATCGTTAGCAATACACGGTTATGTTCTACCATGCGGCGCGCGAAGAATCGGTGCAGAATATTCCGAGGTGCTTTGCCCATCAACTTGGCCCAGGAGCGGCAGTAAACATCTTACCTGAATGAGTTTCTTGCTCAGCGCCAAAACCCTCCAGGAGTGATGTGCAAGCACCTTTTTGCGCAGGCACGATCGCCGACAGGGAAACGCTTGACGAAATGGCATGTGGTCCGCCCAGATTTTGGTCTTGACAGGACGACTGCAAATGGCTGAAGTAGAGGTTTCGGTTGCAACGCGTCGGTTGTATCCTCGTAGAAGCTGCAATGTGACATGACAGAGCCCAAAAGCTGGTGACAGACTCTCTGATGTCCACAGTCCAACCAATGCTACACGACTTTGGGTTCACGGTCCTTTTTTCTCTCATTCCCGCCGTCATCCGTACACTGCGGGGGTAACGGATCATGTCGCGAATGTATCTGTTTGGAGCGTGACTCCCGTCTTACGTTTGGATTTGTAAACGGGAGCCTACTTTACCATATGACCCGAGCCTGGTACGACGACGGTGTTGGAAAGGCCTGACTCTCTATAAGATTTGCTCTTTGAAATGACGCGAGCTCGATGCTAACAGTCCTAAGCTCCTTTCTCTCTCGACCACACGAGAGCTTCAAGCACTTTTGCGTGCGCCGTTGACCTTCGAGCTCTTTTTATAGCGATCGTAACAAGCGAGGCCCTCCTGTTCCATCTGAGCGTGTTCAACTGCTGGATTCCCTCTACGGCAGTCGCGATGCACTGTTTGCGAAACGTAACCTGTCATCAGTTGTAGCCCAATTGCCCGAAACGGCCGCGGATCCCGCAGACACGACAGCGTAACTGTCCACACTCTTAGGTGTACGTGACTTACAAGTAAGTCTTGCTTCGTTGAGCAGGTCGCCGATATTGATCCATCCGGGTCGATGCGCTGACGGTTGCTTGCCATGTATGGCTTGAAAATGACTCATAGGATGAGTGCGCGACAACGTCACGCTAAAGGAACGAGTTTTCGGACTTGGCGGCGACTGGAGCACCAAGGTGAGTACCGACTGCTTCGAACTGTCGAAGTGTGGCTCGCTATGCCAGTGTTGTCATACAAGATCGAACGTAGTTGTGGCGTCCGTGGGATCGTGCTGAATTGATAGCGTCACGCGTTTAGGCAATCAGCATGGCGTTGTGTATCTGTACATCGGTAAATGTCGCGACCTCGTGAACCTGTTTCCGTGCGAGTACATTGGTAAGCACCACACCACTACTTCGGTACATGCTAGAAGCTCCGATTGTTAGTTGACTCCACTATTGGCTTGAAAACGACGGGCGATCTACCGGACAACTTTGTCGTCAGCCTTTGCGGCTGGACGACGCGCGATCTGTCAGGCGACTTTGTCTTCAGCGCGTTGGTGCTGGACGACGCGCAACCTGTCGGGCAACTTCACAACTATGTACTCTCGCTATGATCAACCTATTGCGCGTCGTTTCTACTAGTGGGTTCGGCAGACTCAGAGCAATGTGCACGGGATAACTAACACACATTCTCGTTTCACCGCCCTGTATAGAGCGATACGAGAAGAGAGCAGCGCTCTCACTTCATCTCGTCCAAGCCAACAGAGTGCCACTGCTGCACCGGTCCGATGCCATCACCACCATGACCTTATGGCAGCGCACCAGCGCTCGTAGTCACTTCGTATCAGGCAAATGGCCTTGAGGATCTCAAGTTGTGACGCGCATTCATGCGGAATGTCTTGATAGTCATGGATGTCTTGTATCGCCGGTCTGTCGCCGTAAAAGAGAAACCCTCCTCACACTTGATGGATCTACCTGACAGCACGCGCGAGCGAAGACGTTCGTTCTTCAGTTGACAGGCGAATGGAGGCGCACACGTGAAGTGCTGGTGGCTTTCTCCAAAGTGTTATTTGCCAAGCTCGCGGGATACCGTCACAGCAGAGACGAAGCCAGCATCGACACTTTCTCAATACGACGCGAACGCAGGACCTTTGGAATCGGACTTGGTGTAGAACGTGTTTCATTCAGAAAAGTCACGGATGGGTGAGCCGGACAACGCTGCGCAATGAGAGGCGTATAACACGGCATATCGTAGCGTTTCATGTGTTAAGGCGTGACACATGTTAACTCACTGCGTTAGCTGAACGCGAATATCCAATTTTACGACAACGTCAGTCGCCCAAGGAGTCTTATTCCACGCCATACCGACCGATAATTTGTCGAAAAAGAGAGCTCCAGGTTTTATAGGAGTATCAAGGTTCCTTAGCATGATGTTGGCAATACAGCAGTGTGAATGTGAATATTTGACTGGTGAGCAACAACCTAAAAAGCCTTTCACTTTCACTTCGTTGGTAATATTCGATCTAGTTCTGTAGCTATTTATCTTACGAGATAAAAATTAGTCAACGGAGGATGACATCTGCAAATGGGTCGATGAAGGCCGTGGTCTTCACCTACTTTTTACGAGTAAGGATTGGACAAGCGTGATAAGCAGATGCGTATAGTACATGTTTGAACAGTGTTTGCAGCGATATTAGTTCAACACGTAATACAGATTGATCCGATAAACTGCATTGAATACGGTTCCTTTTGCCCTTTATCATTATCGCCTCTTGAATTGATCGCTTCCTTCCCAAACTGCACGTGATGTATCGAATGAGCTAGCGTATAAACCGCCATCAGTGTAAGTCGCTTGCGCTGTGATCGGGTACAAGTGTGACATAATTCGTTACAATAGAATTCTGTCCATCTGGCGGTCAGATAGGGCGCTCCTTTTCGGCTTCAAGAGGCTCAAATATTATGTGCAAAACAGAGCGACGTCATGGAACGAAGCTTTTCGTGAGCGTGTATAGGTGATAGTATTCGCTAGCACTTTTGTCTTGGTGTCGGATAGCTGTTCGCCAGCTGTGCAGGTCGCACGGTTCATGTTCGACAAGGTGCGTCGATTTGATATCTTGTATAGGTGGATGTGCAGATATGGTATCACTTGTCTGTATACATGCTCCCAATACGGAGACAATGTATTAGGTGTCACGCATTAGCCTAGTCACTAACATCGGCCGTCCAAGACTGTATAAAGCCACGCGTACGCAAGCGATATGCTACAAAGTCGTGTAGTTGAGAGCAGTATATAATCAATGAATGAGCGAATTATTGATGCATCAAAACAAATAAGTTAGACGCCTTCCGCGTCACCAGCAATAGCAGCTACAGTATCGGTACATAAAGCCATCAAGGCTACTTACTGGCTCATAAAAACATAGCTCGCATAGCAAGCAAAGGGAAGGCGCCGTGCGATTAAGCGCTGTGCGTAGATACGCCCTGCAGACGCACCTCCATCTCAAGCACAACAGCTGGAGATTCTCGTCGCGAATCCACAGCAGCAAAAAAGCTAGATTGCCTGTCAAACAATTTGCATCTCCACGTGTCTCATGAAGTAAATGAAGCATTTAGGTGTGCTGTCGATTCAGAAGTCGAAAAGTGTTGAGCGTAAGCGCTATTACCGAAAGTGCCAGACCAAACTTAGGTTCGACGTTCATTTGCATCATGAGGATTGCTGTCAAAATTGTGATGTACCTGATAATCATCGACGTTATGACTTGATCGCCAAGATCATGTGGGGATGATTTCGTTCTACCCGGAAAAGCTTTACTTTCGATCATCAACTGCCCATACACCAGCTATCAGTAACTTACAGGATTTCCGACTCGATTGTGTACCTTTTTGCACACTTGCTTCACTCCGTCTATCGGCTGCCACCCATCTTAGACATGGTCGGTAGGGTGGCTCTGGACTTGTACCTAGACGGGCGGAGCTGTCCACCTTCTGGGCTCGAACATTCAACCTCGCGGTCGAAACACCCGTGATTTACTAAGATCTTGTGCAGCACATAGGTACTGCATGTGTTAAAAATGTTGATCGACCAAAATCCTCACGGGATTATGAGATCGGTCGACTGTAGACCAAGGCACGTATGCTTATATGTGTGACATCCTCTTCTGTTTTACAGCGATACTACATCGATCTTTTTGGCTTTCTAGGTTCAGATTGCGCTCAGCATCAATATTAGCCTGATCAAGTAGAACCTTCTTTGTTACATACCGATGTGGACGCGTCATAATATCGTGTTTATGGTAGCAGATGCGTCTACCAAAGAAAATACGAAGAGAATGATGTAGCAAACGAACTCTAGGTCTACAGAAAGGAGCGCAGAATTATAACCCACCAACATATGAGAACTCCCAGGTCGTCGACTTTGGTGCAACTAGTTGGTATAAGGCCTGCGATTAAATGGGGGCTCGCGCTAGACATGCTCTTTTGATCAACAATAAATTACTCCGTTGATCCTGCTCGTACCTTACGAGACACGCATCTGTTTTCCTGTTCGAATAGCTACTAACGAAACACACGGGCCGTGCAATGGCCTGGATCAACTTTCCTTATGTCAGTGGGCAGTGGTCATTCTGCTATCGACACTAATTGTGGAAGTACAAGCATATTAGGTTTTCATTTTCTATCGATATCAATGTTCGAAATCGTGTGTCCGTCTTTACATTCATTGTTGCCAGGGATCAGAAGCCAATTTCTGACCAACGACTTTGTTTCCTGTCGATGCAATCGTTATGACCCACGCCTTGTCGAATGGTCTTGTTCGTTAAAGATGTGATAATTGATTATCCAGATCGCTGCAATAGCATCAACTGCTGAACTTCGTACTGGAGACCAGTTTGACCATGTGTGGTGTTGGGATGGGCACATATCAGATTGTTGCATGAACGAATGCGTGGTATTTATTGCCTACTGGGAGAGCGTAATGGCGTTACACGTAGGTTAGCACCGCCTGCGATCATGCGACCGACTATGATCGCACACAAAAAGTAATTGATCCAAGAGACGTACTGTAACAGGGTTACAAGCAGTGCGTAACCGATACTGAAGCACCTTACCGATATGGGTGGAGACCCTGACTATCGCAGTCGTGGATCTGAGTCGATGGTGCGCGCCAGCCGCCCATGTTTGTATATGCCTCATGTTATGGTCTCATTGGGTAGCAAACCTCACCGTGAGGTACGCAGGTGAGATTTGTTATCGTCGATAGCTCAAATATAAAGATCATTGTAGTTTCGAGCAGAGTACGAGTAGGAGCTGTGTAGGTCTTATGGTCTTATGCAGTCGATCGACTCCCAAGCACTTTGTGCTATCGCTTCTTGTACCTGATTGACAATACATTTGAGATCAAGGAGACACCCGGAGTCTACACGCCTCTACCTCCTTCGACTATGATAATCTTATTCGACAAACCATTGAGCTCTAACGAACGTAGGTGTTCCAAGAACTTGCGTCCCCCTTCACCGCTAGTACTATTGTAGCTCCGCTACAGCAGACACGACAACGACAATGCACCGAATGCGTGTCGATGTGGGTTATATCACAGCTGCTGAAAGCATTCGACCGACAAACTTGAAATACAGGCGCCGCTACTTGCAAAGGTCATTTGAAGCTCGTCCGACTCTTGCAAGTAGACCCCCGAGGCACGACCAAAGCGACTCGCTTTGCGCCCTACATCACCTCGAGTAGACTCACACACTGTGTCATTGCAAACTTGGACAGCATATACATGGCGCTACGTGTGTCGTCCAATGCATACGACGTAAATATTCGATGTGGTGTGTCGCGACTGGAGCACGTGAGCTTGCGCAGGCCACGAAACACGCGGCCGGCGATCCCAATGCCGCGTAGGGAGAAGCACTCGGACTTTACGCCGAATCAGTCGCGCGACTTGCGTGTTGAGAATGGGCGATCGACGGACATTGTCGACACACGAACGGGACATGGAGCACGTTGCACGTTGCACGTGCTGTCTGTCGTTCTGGTGTGAATAAATAACTTCGCGTGTCAAACGTGACGAACACGGTTGCAACGATAATGGTGACAGTTTCTAGCAGTGCCTCTATTACGACAGCTGACACCTCGATGATATTGTTGACAGACCCGTTCGATCAGGTGGATAAACCAGAGCATGTCCAGTATCGTTTCGGTACCTGTCAGTTTTGGACAAGCGACGTTTTGACAAGCGTGTCAAAAACCGAGCGACGAAAATGATCACGCGCAGACAGCTCCCGAAGGGGCTCGTGCTGCTGGCGCTAGCAGCAGTCTACACGCCAGCGTCGGTCGACGGCAAGTGCGTCATGACGCAGACGTGTGTAAACCCCGACAACGTGCCCGACTACGACAAGTGCATCCCTGAAGCGCACCCAGAGCCGCAAGAGCCGCAAGCGGTACGTTGTCAACGAGAGAACAAGAAGGCCACAGTAGCGTCGCTGTTTTTGACGTTGTTGACGTTTTTGTCGTTTTTGACATTTCTGACAACTGCCAGATGACTGGAGGGAACTGGCCGCGTGTTGTCGGCGGTGGTAAGTGCATCAGTGACGCAGACTGCAGTGACAAGGGCCGCTGCTTGGACAGCGCCTGTGTCTGTCGCCAAGACGGCATGACGGCTGGCCCGTTCTGCGATCAGTTTGCGATCCAGTGCCCAGCGTACACGGCCAGTGCCTGCTGTTCGTGGCAGCAGAACCAGGCGATGGCGGAGAACTTCAAGCTGCTGGCCAGTGTCTTTGCCAAGAACAGTGCCGGCGGCTGTGACGCCTGTGCGGCGAACCTCATGAAGCTCTGGTGTGGTCTCGTGTGCTCGCCCGAGCAAGATCAGTTCATGCAACTGGCCCATGCGTGGCCGAGTACGAGGTATCGACCAGATCCGCTGACAGGCAACGAACGAGTCAAAGTGCTGGAGCTCGTGGTGGCACTTGACAAGGACTTTACATGTGCCGTGTTCGACTCGTGCAAGAACACGGCGATGGCGTCAATGGCGGCGGCAATGAAGTCGTCGCTTGGGTTTCTCAACTACCAGATGCAAGTCGGAGCGGTGGGCCATGGCGAGTACATGACCATGCAGTTTAACGCCAGCAGAGACAGATCGTTCGACACGAGCGTGTTGAAATGCTCAAACTATTCCAATGTCGCGACGATGCGCGCGACGCTACCTACGCAGGCTCAGTTGCTGGAGTCGATCGTATCCAAGTCGATGGACGACAAGCAGTGTCCTTGCGGGGCATGCCGTGCGACGTGTGACACACACAATAGCGGACGCAGCCATGTTCACGTCGTGGACAACCCGATTTCCATGTTCGCTGGCTTTAGTACGAAGCTCGTTACGGCTGTCTATGGACTGCTCGTGGTGTTCTTAATCGTTTGGAAAAAGTGGAAAAGTCGGTGAGCTCTTGAAGAAGCAATTTGAGGTCTGCACGATGTCCAGTCGTTGCTGTCGGTGGTCGAGCACACACTGGTTTGCAGAATATCATCGTCCGACCACCCACTAAACAAACCGCCTTGCATTGATGTGCCTACAATGAGACTACAGCGCCGCGCTGCCTGCACAATTCTACTGCCGCTGCGACAGCGTGCTCGCCTTGAGCCTCCATCAAACGTTCACGAAGTACCGTGCACTGGATTTCTAAACTCGCCACTAGAATCAGCAAGTCGTCGACCGTTGACCCGTGAGCGTTCTCAATATCGAAAGGTTCCCGGGACGACCGATTTGCATCAAGACGCTTGCAGTTGTCCTGGCGATCCGCGCCTTCAACCGGATGACAAGATCCCAGCTTGTTGTCCAGCTCTACTTTCGCGAGCAATAATTGCTCCTTCTCATTCTCAAGTTCTGTCGCAATGGCCTTTGCCTTGCGCTCAGCATCCTGCTTCTCCAGCAAAGCTCGCGCGAGATCGTCCTCCAGTTTGTGCACGGTCGCGTCGTACCTCTCCTTGTCACGTCGCGCCTGATCATTATACTCGGTCACTTGACTCTGCAGGGACAAGGCATGCTTCGCCTGGGCATCACGCTCTTTTGCCACTGTCTCCATTTCTGCTACGCGAGCACGAAGCACATTCAGCTCTTCGAGCTGAGAAGATAAGAGCTCCTCTGAACGATTTTGATCGTCAGAAACAACCTCTCGAGATGTTCCGTCAGCAGGTGCTTCCGTGCGAATCGTTTCGTTATCGGGTAGCGCGGTCTCATGTAAAGCAAAAGGGACTACCGGGTCTGCTGGCTCCGCTTCTTGCATTCGTTGCCAGAGTTCTTCTTGCTCATTGACGTAGACGGCACGCGCTGCAACTTCGAGCTCATCAACACGGCTTTCTAGACGTCCGTTGTCCGCCGTGAGGCCATCTATGACGCGCTCGTATTTGTTGCTTTCTGCTTCCCCAGCTCGGACAGACGTCGACAATGCTTCCGCTAGCTGTGCTTTCAATCGTTCGTTGTCATTCTTGGCCTGTGCCTGATCTTTGACGAGCATCTCGAGCATCTGCCTACTCTCGGCTAGCTCCATATCCTTACGCTCGCATTCCACGTAGAGCTCTTCAAGCTGTTTTAGGCGCCGTGCAAGCTCAGCTTCGCCTTCGGTATGGAGAACACGGCATGCTGTGATACCCTCAGAGCTAGCAACTTCGCTACGCGATCGCCGGGTGGCCTCTCGTTCTGCATCCAACTCAGCTTGTACTCGAGCAAGTTGTTCGCGTAAAGAGCTGAGCGATACCAGAGAAGACTGCACGTCCTCCGACACTGGACAAACGACAGCGGGTTCTTGTTCTCTTTGTTTATGGTCTTCTTCGGGTTGCTGAGATACCAAAGCTAGTGCATCATCCATACGAGCCTCCATTTCGGGTGCCGACTCCGACACTCTCTTATCCTTGTCCCCCACATCTGTCTTTTCGTGCTCGAATCGTTCGCGCTCGGCAGCTGGCTGGTCCACCAATGTGATGTCTTGTATCGGCATTGTGACGGCAGAAACGTCGCTCTGACATCCTCGGTCCATCTCGCGCTGCTTCAGTTCTTCTACTTGACGTTGCAGATCCAGAATCCGTTTGTCTTGCATACGGATGAGGTCCTGATAGGCACTCGCAGGAGTCGAAAGGATCGAGTCCACGCCAGCAGAGCGCAAAGACCCGCCATCACAAAAATCAGTGTACATCGCCATGACACGCTTCTGTATCCGCTCAGCCATTTCGCGATAAAAGATCGTGAAGCCTCGCTCGTAAAGCATAAACAGGTAATGAGCGTTGCCTTCGTGACTCGAACTCACACCCACAGCGTTGGCGTCGGCGATATCGATGATATCGTACTCCGCACGATAAGTGAGCAGGACCCGTGAACTCTGCGTTGCACTAGCTCGGGCACACGCCAGTATTGCCGCAGTTTGCTGGAACTGAACCAAGGCATTTGTAAACTGCTCTAGACCAATGCGATTGCTGATCATCTGGAGCAGTTGGTCTCGCGTCATCTGCAATCCGGCTTCATCTTCTTCTTCTCGTATAGCTGCCACTGCTGATGCACTAGCGGTTTCCACAACTTTGTCTGCCTCATCCACATGCAAGATCTCCAAGCAACACCCTAGCAGTAGCGCGGCAAGGCCTCGCAACTGCGTCGTTTCAGCTACACTTCGAGGCGATGCAGCTTTCTGCTTTGCCGAGAGGGTGTCCACGAGCACGGACAAGTTGGCCACGGAGCCTACGATTTCACGAACAGCCATACGACAGCCGTGGCACCAGTGGATAAGCAGCAACAGCACCGACAGTTTGGCCTGGAAAACGATTGACTGAACCATGGGACTCAATTCTTGATCCGGCGCTGTTCGCAACAACTGCACGCATCGCGACAAGAACAGGCCACCCGCAATCGCACGAGCTTGTGGATCAGTATACCGTTCTGGAACTCGGAGAGCAAGTTCTTTGCAGTATGAGCTACCCGACAGCAAGTTGGTCAGCCGGTGACCCGCTTTCCAAGCGACAACAAGCTTCGCATTCAGCGTCTCAGCGTCATCTCTGTCCCCACATTGTACAATCGATTCAGTGTTGACGACAAATGCATCAAGCAAGACACGACCAGCTGAAACAGGTGCTGAAGAGAACTCGTTGCGCCCGTCAGCGCTATATCCTTCCGATGGGACAGCTGGTGGGGGCGGCGTCTGAATGTGCTGCAGCACAGCCATACGCGCACCCTCATTGTCATGAAAAAGAGTGTCCAAAAGAGTTGACGCCGCCGCAGATACAAGCGACTCATCTCCACCATTGCCTACGTCAAGACTCACAAGGTCTGCGAGGACGTTACGCCCGGAAGGTAATGCGTACATGTTCAGCAATATCATCTGCGCACCACCGTTGTGCTCACTCACTAGTCGCAGCAAGTCAAGAGCTTGTAGTCGCACATCCATCAGCGTATCATCAAGGCAGCAAATCAGCTCACCCACAGCACCCATGAGCGCCTCTTGTCGGGCCACAAGACTTTGTATCTTCGTCAGCTCGTGTTTCTTACGGGCACGGTCCCGCTGCGCCATTTCATTCAACATCGAATCGTTGACGCCTTCGTGGAGCTCTGCTACGAGCACACGCACGAGTTGCAGTCCAAGCTTTAGTACGCGTTTCTGTCGTTCCGATGCTGCTCCACCTCCTGCTTCGTGACCTTCTTCAATCCCTGACGCCCTAAGTAATTGCGGCACGTGCGATTCCAGATATGGCATCTCGAGGAACAGTGTCTGCGTCATGAGGTTATCTTGCAGCATATTATTGACAATATGGAGACAGTCAGCGACCACAGAGCTCGTGCCAGTAGAGTCTGCGATCCCCTCCGCTTCCATGATCTGAAACAGTCTGTCAAATCCTTCTTCAAACGCCAAAAACTGCTGTACGTTCTTGTCACGTCCTGTCAATTGGCCAAGCACGGCTAACGCCGTGTCTCGAATATGTTCCCGTCGGTCCTCGACCACCTCCAGGAGTCGCCGAAGTCCTTCTTTGCACTGCAATACCGCCTTGGTAAACTCCTCTGGCTGTGCCTCTTGCAGCGTCTTGACCAGAGCAACGGCCGGGCCTCGGATCCACGGCGACGGATCCTGGAGCAACAAAAGGCACGTCTCCATGCCCCAAGTTGCAGCAACAGCCGCGTGCGGTTGCGCCAGCACCAACACCGCTGCTGCAGGGACGCGACCCACGACAGTCTGCAGGAACTCGAGAAGTTCCTCCATGAGCTCAGTGTCCCGCGGGTCCGACACGAGCGCGTCCAGCACAGCTGGTACGGCCGAGAGCCCAAGCGCCCGCTCGTCGACTACACCGTCTTCACTTGGCCTTTGGTGTCCGTCATCTGTAGACACTTGCACTCGATACTGGTCAAACAGCGACTGCAGAGCATGTACCGCGCGCTTCCGTTCCGTTAAGAGTGTGGCACACTGCAACCGCTCGACGGCCTGCACGATTTCCGGCGATACGGCGGCCGACGGCGGCGCTAGTGGGTCCGGTAGGGAAGTGGGCGTTGATGGGGACGAGATGGAGATACCTGTGAGCTCAAAGTCGTCGTCAGTGGGCTCGGGCGGCGCCGCGACGATGCGGTGCACGCGGCTGAGGACCGCCTGCATGGGCTCTGTTGGAAAAAGAGCTAGAGGGCTTTTTAACGAAACGAAAGACGCGGAATGCAAATATTACGATAGTAGACAAGCGAGAGGCATTCATTTCTGTTTGATCGGAAGATTAGCACGAGAAAAAGAGTAGCAGGAGGTAGGTGGAGTTTGGGGGTACACACGGGTTACGTCTGTATCGCCGACGGTAGTATAGCAAACGAAAAATGGTAGCTGGGAAATGACCACTTTTTACATTTTGTGCAAGTTATGTGTCTCGTTTATTTCGCATTGTGTGAACATGAAAAGTGGTAGTGGTGCTCTAATTCGCCTGCTTCCAGTTTACTTTGCTTCTTCGATAGCTTTGTAATGATTGTAGGTATCACACGCCTAATACAACGTCGGTAGGGTGAGTACTCCCACCTCGCGTTTCACTGCACCCACTACGCAGAACTTGCACACTAGTGGCATCATTGTCCCATCGCTATACCAGGCTTTCGTACAATTCTACCTCAACCTACTAACTTTCCTGTCCAGTACCGCAACTGTCGGTCCTGGACTGACTTTTCAATGCGCTTCATACACAAACTTCGGAGACCTCTGTGCTATATTGTAGGACGTCGTATCGACCGTCGGCATCCACTGATCAGATCTATGTAACAATGAAAGCAAGCGGCAGGCAACAATGTTCTTGCAGTTATGTAATATCGTTGATTACACGTAGCATGTCGCGAGCAAGCATTTCCGTTTTTGTTATAGCTTAAGCTATTCACACTTCTCAGCTGGTAGCGAAGGACGCTTGCTGTTGCCTACGACTCGGTCGCACGATATACGCTCGATGCCCTAACAAAAGTATTGCTGTTCAAATCATATTGTTTGTAATACAAGCAAAAAGTCAAATTTGTTTCAACGCAGACGCAACACCACGTGTATTGTCGAAGAGTCGGCATTACACATGGTGTTGCTAAAAGGCATCAAAGGAAAGAAAAACAAGCCAGCAGCGACACGTTTTCTTATAATGCAGGAATTCGCATTTACAAGACCTTTCGAACATAGTCGATGACAAGTGTGCATCTGTATTCAAGCTGCGTCATGTATAGACGCTTTTCTGTGTGACATATACCTTTTATGGTCCCGTTGACGAGTCGAATAAGGTCTACGCCCGGCATGATGGTGGTCTCGACATTATAAGTCTTCGCAAATATCTGCATGAGCATCTGCAGTCGCACCATCCCATTTTTAAGCACATACTTTCATGTAGATAGCTACCAACAATAATGTTGGCTGATCATTACGAAAACCCAATGCTGATTTTGTTTGTGTATGATTTGCACCATGCTTCCTAAATCCAAACCTCATCATCTGGCACATCACTGTTTACGCGCCACGCAAATACGGCGCTGTCGCTTCTTATTGTTTACAGCAACACCGCCAGGTAAACTTCGAGAATACATGATCTCTAGCAGGTCATGCAGGTGTTCAGGATGAAGTGCAAGACCTGTAAATGATAAGTTTCGATCTCACCTTATTAACTTATAAGCGACAACTCGACAGATGGGATAAGGATAAACTACCATCGTGTCGGGTCGCTAAAATGTCGTGAATTTCAGGGCGAGAAGGACCGGACGCCACATGGGACCAGCATATGATGATGGGCGGACTGGACGTGCGCCATATGCAACTTGACCTGGTCTTGTTGCATTGGAGGTGACATACATGCTGTAGTGTTGACAGACTTGGTTAACACTACATACATATATCACTTTTGCGTCTACGTCCTTGTGCACTGGTGCAACTACTGTCTGCTTTCGACATAATTTACAAAGCACCACATAACCACACCATGAAAGCTGGATCAAAGAATTAGAAGCAATTTAGCTGTACTATCAAACGCCATGAGCTCTGTTCGACTACGCTTATAGCGACAAAAAGCCTTCTCCATTTTGCGATAGGAGCGTGACCGGAAACAGATAAGGGGTTTTGAGAAAGAAAAACTCAAAGAGGTACAGTAGTTAAGATACAGGTGCATGTGTATGTATGATGTAGGTGGTGTGTATTCGGTCGTATAGTGTTCATCGCTAGTCCTTGTTTTTTTGTTATTATCGAATGCAATTTTTATCTACCCTGGTATCTTTTCTATATTCACGTTTCTCTTATGCTTTTTTACCTTTCTCATTATAAATATTAAAATGATTTGGCGGGTGACATCAATAGATTCAGCGGTATTTCTAAATAAAAGGTCTATCGGTGTTGTTCACTCACACGTTTTGTATGGTGTGACCGACACCATACGAATAAAGATTCGAGTGAAGTCGTGCATGGACCGTCTGCAGGTTATTCAACCCACCGAATTCATACACGTGCACAAGACTAAGTGAGCCCAATTTGTCATCGGAGACTAGACGGCCATCCACATTTCGCGGATATCGAAGGTGTAGTGTCTCCGCAACAGGTACAAGGGCCAATTCAACTTAAGCTGATGTAGCGTGTGAGCGATCTCGAGGAAGACGAAGGTATGTGATATCAAAAGCACGAAGGCCGTCACATAGTCGACTGGATCGGAACAAACAATGTGGTCAAGACTGTACGACGCTAGTTATGCGGTCAGTACTAGAACGAGTCCAACGCTTATGGGACTGATGTCGGTGACCGAGGATGGATGGGGTAGAGACGAAAAATAACGGGCATTTCTGGCCACGTCATGCGAAGCTCCTCGGATCGACGATAATTGTCTATTTGTAGAAGCAGCATTGGCTTATGCCCGCAAACGTCCTAGACACAACGATGATACTCCACAGACGACGCATCATTAGGCAATTGCAAGTAAAGAGTCATCGGAGTTGGTCAAGGCAGTGGAATAGAGCTGAAGACTCATAAGACGAATGTGTCCTGGTACAAGCGACTGCGGATGTAAACCGAATAGGGTATTAGTAGGGGCTCTCAAAAGGGAAAAGAGCGTAACAAGATGGTCAAGTACTGGGCAAGACTTGTTGAGCACGTTTCAGCCAAAACTTTGGAGCTGCTTGTTTGAGACGTATTCATATCGGTATCTAACATGAACCGTATACGAGCTGTATCGGCGGTGTGGTTGTGGTGGATAACGTGATGTCCGGACAAATGGATGTCAACACATCCTTCCTGAACAGTGACTTGGAAGAGCAGTATCGAATGGCGAAATCATGCAGTCTGGATAGAAGTCGAGCATCATTTGTGAGCTAAAAAGGCAGTTGACGGACTCGGGTAGCGCCAAGTACATGGCACAAGACGGTTGTCTCTAAAGTTTAGTTTCCAGAGTAGCGGTGCTGACCGATGCGTGCTCGTCAACTAGCTTCTGGCAACAAGGTGTGTGTGTGTCTATATGCAGGTGACGCGACAAGTAGCCAATACATGTGACAAGATCGAAGCGATCAAAAATGCAGACAAAATCATTCCAGGCGAAGGAGTACGGGAAGACGAGTTCATATTCGGCATAGAGATCTGCGATAACGCCGAGACGAAGACACTAATGTTCAAGCAAAAACATGATGTGTCGAATGTATGGTACAACCACTGAACCAAGCAGGTGCAAAAGTGCTGGTCGATTTGCGCGGGGTAAAAGTCATTGCAATGCAGTCATAGGGGTTCCTAGCGGTGCCAAGTCAAAGCATTAACCCACGAACGCCGTGATTGCCCGGTCGATCGCTTCTAAGATCAACGAAAGGTCTGGAAGTAATGTGTGATGCAGATAACAGCCGAAGTATCTACTGCTATGCCCTAGAGTTCGACCTGGAATGTATACAACTCGACGTGATTGTTTTCGCATAGCAGCACGTTCGAGCGACCATGACTTCAGCGGACTTTCCGTTGTGCGGAATCAGTCGAAGGCCCAAACGTGACTACGCCTTCGACTGATGCCGCACTAACGGTCTCGACATCCAGGCGCACACTTGTACCCTGTACACAGACCACCAACTCATGCGTGTCACGAAATCCTTTTCGTCTCTCATAGGGTGCTCGATCCCGCGCACGTGACTCGTCAAACTTCAAGCTTCTTGATTGCCAGCTGGAAGCAAAGACAGCGTGTCTGCTGACCCGTCTTCCGAGACGTCAGCTGGGACGACTGCAACTTGAACAAAGAGAGAGAGAGGAGAGAGAGAGAGAGACGCTACGGAAGAAAAGCCCAAACAAACGTGCGACCGACCAGCCAGCCAACTCACCTATCCATCGCCCTCGACATGGCTACATTCTGCTGCCATCGCCCTCGAGTTGACACCGTGGAGAGCGCGTGATGGCTACATGTCGCCGGCATCGACCCGCCAGCCAATCACAATCCTTCTTTTCCCAACTGTAACCAGACCAATGCCGCTCGCCATCGCCGTCAAAGTGTCGCCGACTTACGGCTCGGACGCGCGTCTCGACGCGACAACGCGCGTCCTGCTCCACTGTGATGGCCACTATCAGCTGCTCGAGCGTTCTCTCTGCGATTTCCTGCACTTGGAACGTCAATTACGCGCTGAAATCAATGCAGCAGCGGCGTCGCCTCTCTCGACATCGATCGCGCACTCGATCAACGCGCTCTGCAACGCGAATCAGAGCATGTTCTCCATTAATCAGCGGTCGATTCGCCTGTCAGTTGCAATTGAGACGTTTCTCGATCACGTGGTGCGGCGTTCCGCGTTGCTAGCGACGTCCCGAGCGCTGAAACTGTTCGTAGGGGGCAACGAATGGACGAGTGACGAGACGAGCGCCCGGCGTTACCACGACGCAGCGGAAACTGCTATTCGAGCGACAGGAAGAGAAGAGCTCGTGCACCTGCGAGTGGCGGCTGGTTGCTGTGTCGAGCACCACGAGGCGGTGGAGTGTGCTGAAGCCGAGACAAAGCGCGTGGTGCTCTGGAAATTCGCGTCGGAAGGTGCAGGCGTGATGTTTCGTGCCGAGTTCTCGCGTACAGTCGCGACAGAGAGCCCAGCGATGGACCCTTATAGCATCGGCAGCAACGATGTGGTCGAGCCTGAACTCGACGAGCGAGACGTTGCGTACTACAGGACGCAGTGCACGTTTGAAGCAGACGACCCGAGTTTTGTGTACGGACACTTTGTGGCCGAAACGACAGGGGTGTTGACGCTGCATTGGGAGAACGTGGACAAGAGCTCGGTCCTGTCCAAGTCGTTGCGGTTTGGCGTGGCCGTGGTGCCGCTGTGTGCTGCGCACGACGTGTTGGAAGCGGCTGACGCTTGTAACACCGTCGACAGCGCTGAGTGGTTGCTCAGCTACATACGCGCGTCGAACGTCACGTGTATTGAGGACCTTACCGAGTGGAACGATGACGAATGTGAAGACAGCGCATTTGGCGAAGACAGCGCACATGACAGCAGCGTGAAGAGTGGAGACGCCAACTTGAAGTCGCGGCTCGAGTCTGCGGTGCTAGAAGAACGCAATCACAAGCTCGAGGCGCAAGTGGTAAGTGTTTGCTGCTGGTAGATACGCGCATTCTTTGTACCGAGTGCTAACGTGCGCATGCTTGCAAACTATAGACTCGTCTCGAAAAGCGTCTGGCCGCGACCAAGGACAAGCTCAAGAGCGCTGTCGATCGCGCGCAAATCGCAGAGGAGATCTACAAGGCCAATCTGGAAACCATCGCGCAGCTCGAACGAGCAGCGATCAGTGGAAGCGAGCCGAAGTCACAGAAGGGTGCAGCGCTATCGCCTGCGATGCCTTTCGACAAACCACGAGACAATGTTGGCATGCCAATGGAGCAAGCCGTCTCCAGCGAGCTCGAGCGCATGCAAAACCTCTGCGCTGGTTTCCAGGAGCAGTGTCTCTGGCGGTCGGTGGAAAACATGGAGCTCGAGGCGCACCTCGCAGCGTCACAGGTCGAAGCGTCGTCGTGGCAAACGCGACACGGGGCGCAAGCAGTGCAGATCAAGGAGCTCGAGCAGCAGGTTGCGACGCTGCGGACGCACAAGAAGATGCTGGTGCACGAGGTGAAGCGGCTGCAGCCGTTCTCGCACGTGAACGTGGCTGCGTTGGTGCAAGAGGCACAAGAAGCTCGAATGGTGCAGCGCAGTCTGCAAGCCACGTTGGCTAAGCACGAGCGAGTGAGTACGACAAGTGTGGCCAAAGTGCTGCCGTCTACTGGTGAGGCCGCAGAGATGGACGATCAAGCGGCAGAGTGAGGTCTACTGCACGCAAGCGAAGGCGTTGTGCGATACCGACAGTGAGCTCTGACGTGGGGTGGGTGGGACAAATCCTCGTGGTCGATCCGTCCCATCGTCGGGCATATCATTCATTCGCGCGTCGGTCTCCGGTACAAGGCCCCTGTCAGGTCAGCAAATCCGGCTTTGTTCCTTCAGGAACGCGACAAGTGTCGGCAAGGAAGGGCCATGGAGCTCGGCATGGCAGAGGTCGCACTGGTGTTCCTGGGCGCGATGGGGCTGGCGCTGGGGGTACTGTGGCTCTACCGGGTCGTGCAGTACCGCGGAGCCGTGCGACGATCGCAGGCGCGATGGCTCGCGTACGACCCGGCGCACGTGCTCACTGAAGACGAACTGGGACTCAATTGGCCAAGTCTGAAGCCGATTCTGCTGTCGCCTATACTCGAGGAACGGCACGAGAGTGGACGCGTACGTTGGAAGAGAGAGCGAGAGCGAGAGAGAGAGAAAGCGTGATACGAGATCAGTGGTTGGGACACGAGAGCTGACGGGTGTCTACGTGTGGTTGTGGCGTTTGTAGGAGTCCGAGAACGACTCGATGGTGTCGACGCGGAGGGATTCGCTGCCGTTGAGTGCGATCTCTGTCATTGCCTGTAAGTGGTGTGTGTATGGGCGGGGGAGCTGATTGCGATGAAGTGGCGTGTTGTAATGGACTCGTGTGTTGATTCTGTGGACGTAGATGGGAGCTACGAGCAGCCTGGAGCGAAGACTGCCAAGGTGTAACAAGACACACACACATGTATAGAGAGAAAGAGGACGCAAGAGAGGGTAAGAGAGAGAGAGACAACGATAGAGGGCGAAAGGAGGACGGAGGGTGTGGTCGGGTTGGCGGTTGGCTGGTGGGGATACGTGGCTGGTAGCGATGTGTCGAGCCGACTTCATCTCAAGCGACACGGCGGCGATAAACCAGAGGGAAGTGAGCTCGAGCTGAAACGACCTGAAGCTGAAGCAGCACATAGTTGAGGCCGGAAGGGCAGCGGATGTTGCTGGGGGACCGTAGTGTGAGTGGCGGCGCGCTGAGTGTGACAAGTGCTTGTGTGAATGACTGCAGACGTAATGGGGAGAAGGAACGAGTCGCTCCAGAAACGACGCGCGTCGGGTCCTGGCAGAGCGTGGCAAAACGAGACTATTTATTGTCAAACTGCATTCGGACGTGCCGGTGGTCGTTGACACGCGAGCGTGTGCGTAGCGGGGAGAGACTGTGCTGAGTTGCCCAGCTTCCAAGGGTCATGCTCCAAGTGTTTACTCGTGGCGAAATCAGACGCTCGCGAAGAGCTAAACGGAACAGGTTGTAGTGCACAGCCACCACACAAGTGATTCAGCTCAATGCTTTTGGATGCGAGTTGTCTAGTGCAAACCAAGCGTTGTCCAATCTGTGGATATGTCTATCTATTCTAGCAAGTTGACGGGCACTGGAAGCCCACGTCAGTGTGTCAGCTCGATCTCGTCGGGTATTGTCCCGTTGGCTGCAACAGGTCTTTGCAAACGGGTAAAGTTGTCTCGCGTAGCTCCTGTTGACGACGTCGGCAGTGGAGTAATCATTCGATTGGCCTCAAAGAGGAACTGGTTCAAGTCCACGATCTTAGTCACGTAGTCATACGCGTCGCGCGTGGCATCGTCCATCTCCTCGACGTCGAATCCCGTCCGGAGCGGCCTCTTCTCCGCATAGTCCACTGCAGGCTCAAACACGTTGTAGGACCCATCCGGGTGGAAGACGTACTTCAGCTCTTCAGTCCGCACGCCTTTGCTCGTCCCGCTGAACGGGTTGCACAGAACAACGCGGCGTTCCTGCAGACTCGCTCGAGCGTCTGCTGCCAGTGCTTCGGTCGCCAGCACGTTCAAACTCACATTGCCATCCTTCCCTGCCACCAATTCCTCTGCTGCTGCTGCTGCTGCTTCTTGTTGTGTCGCCAATTGCCCACGACGACGCTTCATCGAGTGGCCGTATCCGTGCTGGTGCAGCGGCTCTTCGGGAGTCACGCCAAGGATGTCAGCAATCGTAGCCATGAGGTCCGACTGCATGGTCAGTTGGGTCACAACTGTGCCCTTGTCTTGCTCGCGAAGAAAGTCGTCGGCCAACAACAAAAACGGCACTCTCGAAGCTTCATCCCACACGCCCGACTCGGCCACGGACGGGTTGTTATCGTGTTCGAGACGACCGTAGCCGTGATCGCCTTCGATGATCACGATCGTGTTCTTCATGAGTCCCTTTGCACGCAGTGACGCAATAAAGTTGCCCAGCATCTCGTCCGAAAAGCGCATCGAGTTCAAGTACTTCTTGTTGTTGCGCGTATACAGACCGGACAGGTCCGGCACATCGTACGAGTTCGGTAGCGCCCACGGATTGTGGCTCGTGATGCTGTACATGTCGATAAAGTACGGCGTCTGCAACCCCTCCCAGCCCAGAAGCGGAAGCTCTGCTGGTGCAGATGACAGCCTCGACGACGCCTCATCGGTTGCCATTTCCATAGCAACCGATTCGTCTGCACTGGAATTTGCAACGTCATTGTGGCTGCTCTGCGCGGCCACATCCTGGACACTTGGCATGCCCTCAGTGTCAGTCCCGTGCGCAAACGTCTCAGTACCAGCATGCGATGCCGCCATCCTTGATGCAATTGCAGCATCCATAGAGTCCACTGCACTCGCGTTATGAGCCGACTCGATTGCGTACAAAAGCATCTCAAATGACAAGTCGTCATGCATACCCCACGAAAAATGGTCGTCCGGCATGTTCTTGTAGTTGCGCGTCTCGTGCAGCATCTTGCGAATCTTGCGGTCATCCACGATCGTGTCAAACCCATTTGCCAGCAGAAACTTGTCCCAATACTCCCACGTCAGGTCAACGGCACTCCAGAAGAGGTTAAAGTAGCCGCGCTGCTTCAAAAAGTGCGGCAGGCCTCGCACGTTTAGCGTCGTGCTGTATTGTTTCAGCGCCGTTGTCTCCGTGCACGACGGTAACATGCCAAACAGCGTCGTCAGCAGCGTACGCGTCGTTTGTACACACTGGGTATAGTGCTTACTGTACAAAATGCCGCTTTGTGCAAGCTCGTCGAATCGAGGCGTCGCACTTTTCCCAGTACTTGCCTTCTTAGCAGCACCACCAAGCACGCCGACGTCCAGGTGCCTCCAAGATTCCATGTTGAGCACGATAATGTTGGGTCTGACTTTTTCTGCAGGCTGTGTTGCTGCCGATCCGGCACTGGCCTCAGCCGTTGAACTCGCAGCAGTCTCGTCAGCTGTCGTCGTCTCAGAAGCTGTTTCATTGAACTGCAGCTCAAAGATGTTCTCACCCTCATAGCCCGTGGTCTTGCGCCACAGCAGCGCACAATGATCGTCATTTCCCAGCCCATCCAGCTCGTACTTTTCGCTAACGCCTAACGTCGATCGCAAGGCGCTGCTAGCTGCTGTGCAGTTGATCTCTTCGCGATGAATGGTCGTGGGGCGGTAGAAAAAAGGCTCTGTCTGCAGAGTAAACATGGCGTTGTTCATCAGCTTCATATCGACACCGCCCTTGCCGTCAACAAGCAGTGATACTGACAAAGCAGCACCCGTCATCAACACACTTGCAAGAATGCAGCGCGCCAGCATAGTCAACGGTCCAGATTTAGCCGAAGCATCGTATCCTGAAGACAGCGAGGAGCTTGACGCGAGCGCTGTCCTGCAGCCACCACTAGCACTTCCACCTGGCAACTGATCGTAGTTCTGACCGCTACCTCTTCGTGAAAATTCCATCGGCTTTCCTGCACGCTGCCAATACGACGCAAACAAGTCGGACACGTACGACTTGGACGTTGTCAGCGCTGGCATGTTCATTGACGCCATCGAGTCTTTCCGCGCGTTGTATCGGCGATCGAAACAGCAGCAAAGCACACTCGGGAGTCGCAGGAAATCAGACGTCAGCGGCAATCGACCCGTGTAGAACCCATACGTCAGTGCAGCAACGAGTGCAAAGTAGACTGTCCAGGATCCCACAACTGTCCGCGTCATGACTTCTTCGTCACTCACTGATGCAGCAAACTGCCCCATGTAGCTGAAAAAGATATCGACGAACGCACGATTCAGTCGGGGGTGCAAAGTCACCTGGAGACAAAAGTCCGCGACGCTTGCAATCGTCGCTGCCACTAGAATGAGCTGCAGCAAGAGCACAATCACCAGTGCGTGCAGCCCGCGCGTTATTCGTGCAACAAGTGCCGGTCGATCGGCTACAGCAGCACCAAAACTCAGCAGCGTCCGGTGGTTTGGGACGAGACCCGACGCAACGGCCTCCATGCCTTCGTCTTGGAACTCCTGCGCGGATGCGAGCACCGGCATGTAGACTGGCAAGTACCTCGTGCTGGCACTGCCGGTCCTGAGGAAGCCACTATTGGGAAAACTCCTCACGACTGTCGTTGTTGTTGTTGATGTTGATGTTGCAGCTGCCATTAGTCCCTGTGGCGCAAACGTCTTGTCCCCGTCCAGTAACACCTTGACGACACAGATGCAGGTTATGGTCTGCAACAAGATCGCCACGTCCTGAAGCCATCCCACCAGCAGCCCTTGGACGATCGTAACTGCACTGAAGCGATGGACAAACCGCGCAAAGTTCAACACGCGTCCAAGCACTGGCAGCCCGAGGAAGGCGTATACCAGCACGGCAAGCCACATGGTCTGGTACACTCTCTGGGACGCCACGAGGACGCTGCGGCCTCGACACCAGCGCTGCGTGCGGCCCCAGAGCGACGCGTCTGCGTCCACGCTCGTAGGTCGCATGCCTCCGACTTCACAAAGCTCGCGCGTGGGGGAGAAGCTCCTGGTGTTGCGGCGGTACATTATGGACCTGCGTCGAAGAGCTGCTCGTTGTTGGTCTGAAGGTTTTACTTGCGGTCAGTCAGTCAGGCAGTTAAATCGGTCGCGCGGGCGGTCGGTCGGTCGGTCAGTCGGTCGGTGGGGGTTACACGCACTGGGCTTTGTGTGTATGTGGCTCGGCGGCAGACGGGGGGGGGGAGAGGGATGAGAGGGGGGAGGGCGGGCCAAACACGTCGGTCGGTGACTGTCGCTCGCTATTGGTGTCGTGTAGCGATGTAGCTATTAATAGACTGCAACAGGGACGAGAGAGGGGGAACCTGACCAGTGACAGACGGACCGCGTGTGGTAAGCGAGTACCGTACGTGCGTTTGAGCGTCTGATTGCGGGACTCGGTATCAATTGTTGGCTCCGTTTTGCCAGCGACGCGGACGGCCTGGCACTCGATCCCGACAAGCTGTCTCTCTCTCTCTCTCTCTCTCTCTCTCTCTCTCTCTCTCTCTCTCTCTCTCTCTCTCTCTCTTGGGCTGTCCACTGTGTTAGCAATAGCTCTCTTGCAAAACGTTTGGCCGTGCATAGAAGTGAAGCTCTCCTCACGCTATCGATCGTAAATAGCCCGTGGCGCGATGGTAATGTCCGGTGTGAAAACGCTCGCGCGCGTGTGGTGTGGGGAGGGAAAGACAGTTGACTGAACCTGATTGGGCGAGCTTCGTGACTCTCGGTGTGCAGACGAGGGGTGTGTAACGCGGGACTCGCCACCGGCTCTCGCTCTATGTGTGGTAAGAAGCACATAGAAAAGGACGGATCGGGAAAGAAGCGTACCTAGCGCACTTTGTTGCGGACATAGCACGGCCACGTGCGTAGACGTGTGGGCGTGAGTGGCTTCCGTTGCAAATACTATTGCACGTCAGGCTGCGCTCTTGATTGGTGGAAAAAAACTACCCCTCGTCCGCGCGACGTCGTCGGCCATGCGCGTGCGTACGAACGGACGACAGCCAGACGGGCCAGCACAGCAGAACTTTACCACTCGTCGATCATTGGTCACTATGATGTGTTATTTACAGCCAATCACAACAAGGACTTTGGCAAACAGCGCACCAGTTTGTGACGGATACAATGCAGGTCTTCGTGCCGGCTCCGCTGTTACGTTCTTTGCAGCGCTACAGCAAGAACCACGAGGATCTAGACGTACGAGATGCTTCCCGTTGTTCTCCTGTACTTCGCGGCGTGCTTTTGGGCACCCAGAAGATCGTAGAGACCAGCAGAGATGACGTACACCAGATCGCAATCTGGGCCCTGCTGCGTCTACCTTCTGACGACGCGACGGGCCACTCCTTTGACTGCAATGTACCAGGCGGAATCTCTCGCATTGGGCGTTTTGTAGTCGTGGATGGAGACACCGATGAGGACAGCAAGGAGCTCGGTACTCTAGCAAGAAGTGGCTACAGAAGAGAATGATGGGTACTTGACTTATATTCGATTGTGTTTGTTTGGAATGCGTAGAAGCTGCTGCACTTCGCGAAGTCGGCGATCAGCAAGAGAAGAAAGGGGAGATTGTGCTGGTATACAATCTGAGTGTGCAGGTGCAGAGGACGTTTCGGTGCAAAGATGGAGTTGCCACGGCCATAGAGGTTACAGTTGTACCGTGTGTCCATGCTCGAGAGTTTCATCGTGCGATTGGATACACACTACTACGCTGTGCGGTCGAGTTAGATGGCATTGGAGAGAAGAAAGTGTTGCTACAGCAGCTGGAGAAGTATAAGGCTGCGACGCGTGATAGTCGCAACTTCTACGTGCGTGCAGCTGTCGTGCAGGGCGAGAAGGGTCGGAGTTTTCGTGTGCTCGATAGTCGTGGAGAAGATGTGTTGTCTTCGGACGGTAAGCTCGTGCCGCTTGAGTCAATCTTGCCGGCGCGTAGTCTTGCTGAAGACGCGAGTGAGACGAAGATGAAGAAGAGTGGCAAGAAGCAGAAGAAAGTGAGCACGAAAGCAGCGACTCGGCGACAGGAAGTGGAAGTCGATACAATGGGGATGCTACCATCGCTGGAGTATGGTGCTATTGCCACTGTAGATTTGATGGTCAGTCTTGCGCCGCAGGGGTCTCCTGCTGATGCGGCTGCGCCTGTGCTAACGATTCCAGCACCATCTGTTTCCAGAGCACCTAGCCGTCGCTTTCGTGCACGCTGTGAGGCCTTAGTTGTCGTGCCTGTGGACTTGCCACTCAGTGCTGCGCTAAGCCTGCTTCGGGATCAGCTATATCGCCAGCTGTCCGATGTTTCGAACCGACTCAAGGATACACAAGAGGCGGCCGATTTCGTGGCGGTGCATCAGTTCCCACTTGTTGGAGCTGCGTTTCCACTGACCATTGCTTCGAGCTCGAAGGAGTGTGATGATCGCACCAAGAACATGGACGATGCGAAAGGGGTGGAGAGGTTCCACCGCGCGTTCCTGCAGCCTTTACACCAGCCCCTGTTCTGCGTGTCTCGTGGGTGCTCGCTAGCTCAGCAAGCAGAATGGCTTGCAACGAGCGACGTCTTGTACAACGTGCACGAAGGCATCCCAAGTTTCGGAGGAGACTCGCGTTGCCAAGTAGCGCTGGTGGATGGCTTTTATGGCTACTATCATTATTTGCAGCAAAGCTTGAACGACAAAGGCTGGGGCTGTGCTTACCGTTCGTTGCAGACGTTGGCGTCGTGGCTATTCATCCAGCACTACACGCAACAGCGCTTCCTCTCGCATGAGCACATCCAGAGCGTGCTGGTCAAGATGGGCGACAAACCAGCCCGATTCAAAGGCTCGACAGAATGGATTGGCAGTGTGGAAGTCGGTTATGTGCTGGACGAGCTTTTTGGCGTCACCTTCCGGTCGTTGAGTGTCTCGAGTGGCACCCAGCTGCCTGACGTAGCGCGTGAGCTACTTTGGCACTTTGAATCGCAGGGAACTCCTGTGATGATGGGCGGTGGCCAGTTGGCATTCACGCTTTTGGGCGTGATTTACGACCCTGATTCGGGCGTGTGCGCCTTCCTCACGCTGGACCCGCACTATTCGGGCGACGAAGACCTGCACACGATTCAAAACCAGACTGTCGCACTAGAAGGGTACAAGGCCGTACCATGCAGCTGGCGCAAGACGACAAGCTTTGCCAAGAACAGCTTCTACAATCTCTGCTTACCTCAGCGCCCAAGTGTCGACATCTAAAGCCACAGCAGAAAGCCACAGCACGAGATCAGTTTTCTGTACAGCTACAGAGATGGTTCATTTTTTCAAGTTTCATCATAGCCGACGAACAGTACACGAAAGCGGAACGACAAACCGCGCCGCAAGCGTAAGGCTCGTCGCCCTTGGTCGTCTGGTTGTTCGAGCTATTGCTATCGCGGCCGTGAACATGTCAATACAGTGCGCTGTAACTCACGCACGCTTGAACAGGGAATAGACAGAGCTTCGGCGCAAACGTGCTGTTTTTCTGGTGAAGAGTGTCATCTGGCTCGACAGTTGCTGCTTTTCTTGTCTTACTCATCGTGAATAGGCGTGTCCCGTACATGTATGATCCGAGCGCCACAGCTTATGCTGCAATAGCGGTGCGAAGGACGTTGGTCTTGTTGTGGCGTATGTTCGACACGGCTGATGCTGCAACGGCCGAGGCCTGGGCGATAGCGCGCAAATTCTTCGATCGCGCACTGTTGGCCGAGTTTGCCAGCATCTGCGCCAGAATGTCCACCTGGTTTTTCTTGTTCACTTTCTTCATGATCGCTTTCGTGTTGTCCATCACAGCGTGGGTCAAAGAGGGTGCACCTTGAGACGCTTGCTTTGCAAAGCGCAGCAGGTTCACCCACAGCTCCGCTTCCTCCGAATGCTTTGAGCGCATGAGCATCATCGATGGAGCGTTCGCGCCCTTGTCGAAAAACTCCAGGCGAAAGTCTCCCTGACTCATTTTCTCAATGTGGGCCACGTTGCGCAGGTCCACGACGCCGCGCGGACTCTTCCAGTAGCTGCGCTTATACATGAGCACGACACCTGCTTGGAAGTCCAAGTAAAACCAGCGCTTGTGCCAGCTGCGCATCAAAAACGGAATCGTGTCCTTCAGCAAGTTGACGTAGCCACAATACGGCGGCAACTCCAGATCAGCAGGTGGCAGAGCCGGCGGCAGCTCCGTCCACTGTGCCTGGCTGTGTCTAACACTGGACAGTGGCGTAGCCCGCGCCTGTTCCTCATGGAAAGCCTGTGCGAAAAAACGTTGCAGCTGGCACTTCTCCGATCGAATGACAGCAATCGCCTGCACAAGCGTCAGCTCGTCCTGCGCAAGATCCGCGAGCTCGTCGTCATCCAGCTCCAGACTCTTGGCCTTGAGTCGGTCCTCGCGCTCCATCTCCCACAACGTGTGGTCGTCTACTTCGTTTCCCTCGTCGTCCAACAGCGTGAATCGTCCTGAATCTGTGCGTTCTCGACGCAACAGCGAGCGCGAGCTCATGATCTGCTGCTGGGATCCAAATGGGTACACAGCTGCTGGCAGCGTCGGCCCCATCCCCGCCACTAGCGCATCCTGCTCGTCGTCACTGCCCTGTCCCTTCATCTCTTCTTCCATCAGTTGCCCTTCTTTGCCGAGCCAAAAGGCCTTCCCCAGCCCGAAATTCTGACGGAACATGGCCACCGTGTTCGCGTCCGTCACGTCGTAATAGCCGTGCGATTCAAAGAACTGCATGCCGTCCTCGGCGTGTCCCTCGTACACAGCCTTCAGGTGCAGCTCGAACGGCGAGTGCCGCTCGCTACTGCTGCGCTCCTCGCACATCAATGCACTCACCGGCCCGAGCTCCGGCTCGACGTTGTCGTCGCTGCGCTGTTTCTTGGTCCACTGCACGTGCTCGTCGTCGCCCTGCATGACCGAGAGCTTGCGCGTCTTGGCTTTCGTGGGGCACGGCGGCAGCGAGTGACTCGGCACCGGCAGCATGCGCTCGCCGCGGTGGTTCACCATAACTGTTGCGGGCTCTGGGCGGCGCGTGAAGGCCAGCATGGTGACGAGCGCTGGCCGAGTGGACTCGATTAGAAGCCCCTTGTTCTCGAGCGAATAATCGACGCGGTTATGTTTCGTACTTTTCCAGTCGAAGTACGAAGACGAGAGACAGGGCGGTAATTGGCTGAAAATCAACACGCGCGCGCTCTCTCTTTTGGGTGATTGGGTGATTGGGTGATTGGGTGTTCGTCGGTATTCACGGCCTGAAGTGGTGGAAGCCAATCAGTCAGTGAGTGAGCCAATCAGTCAGTGAGTGGGTCAATCGGTCTCTTGCGACGCAAACGAGCGATGCGCTTGAGCTGTCAAGTGCGCGAGTGGGCAGCACGAGACGTCGATGGCCGTCGCGGGCGTCGTCGGTGCGCAAGAGGACGTGTGGCCCGTCGCGTTGCGCTCGGCGGTTTTTCCCCCTTCGACGCGCTTTCCACTCTGCGGAACAACGACGAGCGAACGCGCGAGGCAGCCACCATGAGAAAAGCCAAATCCGAGCGATGCGCCCCCCCCCCCTCATGTAGCAACGGAGAATTCACAAAAGACCTTGCGGTTTGTAAGCCCGATGTTTCTCTGAAGCAAAAAAGCGCCCGGTTTTGCGCTCGCGGGTAGAGGCAGTGTAAAGTAACGCCAGGGTTTGGAGGCAGCGCGTGTGATCAGAAGGTTAGGGCTAGCGGCCTCTGGACGCATGCAGCCCAACCGTTGCGAGTAAACAAAATTGAGCTCACTGGCGTTATCGACGTCGGCCAACGGCTTGCGAAGCTAACGTGCGTGAAGTGGGCGCGGAGTTTTCGACTACGAACGGTCGTCACGCTGTCTTTGGCGTAGTCGGTCGGTCGGTCGGTCGGACGCGGCGCGATATCATGAGTGTCAGATCATGGGTCCGCTTGTGGACTAAAAACAGGTGGTGGGCATCCTCTGCGACGCGACGCTACCGGGCACATATGGGTGAACTAGCGAGCGACCTTGGAACAGGTCCTTGTTCTTTTGGGGGAAGTCAACAATCAATGACTGACTGTTTTGTGCAGTGTGCGGTTACTGTGTTAACGGTAAGCGCGGATCGACCCCTCACGCTAGTCGTTAAGTGTCGCGGGTCTCACGCTCCTGACGAGTGGCTCACGTTACTGTCCACTCACGTACGTCTTCAACCATCATGCATGCACCAAAGCGACATGTATCCAGGAAATAACCATGCAGTGGTTACATGTCACAGTCAGGAACGCGTGCAAAAACACAAGTACAGTAAACGGAACGACAGAAATAGGACCAAACTCGCGTCTGCACGTGCGCGGTGCAAACGATGAGAAGCAGCATCTGCACGTTTCAGCGCTTGACCGCTCAGGACCTGATACTGTTTGCTAGACGTTTCAGTGTCATGGAACGAGGAAGGCAAGACGCATACTAACACCCTGAGGAGTCATTGACATCGTCCCGTTGTATCGTCAGTTCAGTTGAAGTATGCACGAAATCGGATGTCAAACGAATAACGGAATCGCCCGAACAGCAAAGCAGATGGCTCTTAACACATGTCGAGCATACATAACGCCATTGCTGACATTGTCTTCAGAAGAGACGCACGCACCTGACCTAATTATTTAGCTGTAAGCATCGCCGCACGGAGCACCATCTCGCAGCGTGGATGTGTGTCAGCTCGTGCGTGGCCTTCGTTGTATCTGTAGCTGGTCGGCGGTAGCTAGCTAGCTTTGCAGATCCACAGCGCTCGACAGCGACGTGTATTTCCTACTAGCATGACGATATTCTCGCAGCCTGCATGGTGGCAGTGAAAACCGACCAGCCCGCGATCACGGATGTAATCGAGCGATAACGGCTTGCGGACCATGACTAGTGCGCAAAGCACACACGCTGTAATGACAAAAGCTGTAAGGTCAGAAATGTTAAGGAAAAGATCGAGACTGAATGCTAGGCGGATCAAGGACGTGAGACGAGGGTGACTGCTTTTGGTCGCCAAGTTGCCATAGTGATCTCGAGGTGTGTAAGATAGACACTATCAGATGCCGATCAACCCATTCAATCATCATACCCTGTCATTTTACGGCAAACTACTACAACAGTATTTGCATGAAAGCTTCCGCTTGAAAAGTATGAGAATAGCTGACGACTTGCGTCCTCGCTGACCTACCCAAGGTTTGTCAATTTTGCCGCACACTCGCCTCGTGACCCGCACGTCCCATATGCACATTCCAAAGCAATGGGCGTCCATGATACCAGACGCCTCGGCCACTTCATCCAATCCGGCTCATGAGAGAGGAGAAGCGCGCGCGTCCTCATATTTTCTGCAGCATCCCATGCTCGAGATCTCGGAGCATCGGTCCTCGGGTTGATGGAGCCCATTATGGAGCCCATCACATGGTTGGGTCAGTGCGGCATCCTGTGGGTACAACGCACAGGGTACGAAGACGATGTTCGAAAGGAGTCGATACCTGCAGTCCAGTTGGGTACAAATTAACGTTTCGATCGCTTCATATCGATGGCCGGGTGTATACCATGACGAAATCTCAACTACTTCTCTGTAACGGGGTAGCCCGTTACATGAGATTGTCATTAAAACAATTTGACAATAAAGAATATTACGTCGAATATTCTTTTAACAATATCACAGACATGGTGATATTGTTGGGATGACCGAAGGGTCTACTCATTGGTTGATATCGTGATGATATCAACCCCACCAATCGCTGCTAGACGCGCGCAATGGGTGGTGAGTAGACGTCATCATACATAGTTATATTAGTATAATTAAGTCAGGAAAACAGAGATTCAAGGAGTTGTAGGACTTAATTATATCAAATTACACTTTTACTTTTACCAAGAGACCAGTCTGACTACTTATTCTCCTTTCCTTCCTCTGTGTTTCCTTAAAACACCTAGCAGGGCACTGTCGACCACTGTCTTCAGTGGAAGTATACTCCGTACTGGTCATCCAGTACGTAGTCAACAGTGCCCCGTTACATTCTCTGTGCTGCAAAATGGAAAGTAGGATTAAGAGTTAAACCAACGGCTAAAATGAACACATAAATCCCCTCATGAATTGATCAATTCAATCCAGGTAATTCGAAGACCACTGTCCGTGCGAGTTGCCCTTTTCACGACACGCACATCACGGACGTAAGTTGTGATCCTTTACACTCCTATTCAACTTGCACTCTCGCGAATTCCACTTCATCGCGTAGTCGCATTAATTGCGGTGTAGCAAGTGACTTCGTCAGGTAATCGGCAAGCAGCATAGCTGACGGAACATGTTTCAGCTGAATCTTGCCTTACTCAATATGACCTCGAACAAAATGCACATTGAGGTCGATGTGCTTAGATTTTAGTGTGTATCGTTGATTCGTCGCGATACTTAACGCCGACTTGTTGTCCATGTGCACCGTGGTCGCGGTCTCACACGTGACGCCCATCTCTTTCAGCAAATGACGAATCCACATGACTTCTTGCGTAGCTAGCGCCAGTGCCATGTATTCTGCTTCAGCAGATACAAAACCACTGGAGTTCAACGTTTGCTTTTGTATACGACAACCGCGCTTCCAAGTAAAATCAACCACCAGACGTAAATCGACGAGTCATCTAATCATTACCCCAATTCGCGTCACAATATGCATAAATCATAATCCTACTGTCGTCCGATTTTTATACGATATTTTGTGCGATTGTGTTCCCATGAGATAGTGTTACACGCGTAAAGCCGCACGCCAGTGCATATGTCGTGGATGGTCCAAGCACTGCGATAATACTGACATCGCATCGCTAATGTCCGGTCTTCTCGTATTCGCAAAAAACAACAGCGAGTCGACCTATTTCCGAAACGGAGTGCTATCTTTAAGCATGGGTGCGATTCATCTGGAGTCAAGTTCTGACCTGCGCAAATAGGGTTGCGAACTGCATATGCTCCACATTTCTTAAACTGAGAGAACACTTCATTATAATTTGGGAATGTTTTAGCACCAACTCTCCTTTTTCTAGTGATAAATTCACTTCCATGCCAATAATAAACCGCGCGGATCCAAGTGACTTCACAGTAAAACGCTTTGACAATTCCTTGTAAATCGTGTCCGCCTCTGCATCTAAATTGCATCCGATTATGAGGTCATCCACGTACAAGACCATGTATGTGGGTGACTTCATGTTTGCATGATTGCGTCGAATAAAAAGACATGTGTCTGCTCGACATGGTTCGAAGCCCATGGTAGAACACACATAGCATATTTTCTTGTGCTAAACCGCAGCCGCTTGTTTTAATCCATATAAGCTGCGTCGTCGTTTGCACACCATTCCAGGTGCGATCTCAACTCCAAGGGGTGGCTCCATGAAAACGTCTTCTCCCAAGTCACCATTTAAAAACACCGTGTCTACGTCAAATTGCCAAATCACACACTGCATGCTGCAGCAAACCGACACAAACATTCGGATCGTATTCAATCATGCAACAGGTGATAACTTGTCGAAGTAGTCAAAACCATGCGTTTGTAAATATCCGAGGGCAACTAAACGGGCTTTGTAACGAACGATATCACCTTTTTTAGATACTTGTGAGCACGTTCCCGCTTGTGACCAATGAGCTTGTTATTCGAGAGGTGGTCGACAGCGCCCCATGTGTGGTTCTTAACATGAGCTTTATTTCTGCTTGAATTGCTTCTTTCCATTGTTCTGCGTCTGCTGACTTCAATGTCTTTTGTAAATTCATCGGTACATCAGTGGCAGAAAGCGAAATCTCGTAATCGTCAACAAATTAACGTTTATAATTCGGCTCAACTTGTTCGATATTCACCGACGATCCATCGGTCAGAAGCGGTAGATCAACATCAGCTTCGTCAAAATCATCATCATGGAGTAGACGAGATCATGTGGGAGAACTGTAAGACCTTCTATTCGACCCCGAATAAATCCCAAGTCGGTCAAATGGGGGTCGGTAGTTCTCACAAAATACAATAGCTCGCGACAGATCAGGTATACCTGGGAGCATGTGTGTGGAAAATTATTGCTACTTCCAGCGA